CCACGGCAACCCACTGCAGCAGGGGCTGCAGCCTACACCATTGCCGGTGACTCACGCAGCCCAGTTCCAGGTTGAGCTGTTATTCAGCATCTTAGCTGTAGAGGGCAGTGTCACTGGTCCTCATATGTGGGATCCGAACCGGGGCCCTCTGGCATCCCAAGCCAGCTCTTAACCAATGCACCACTCAGCCTGCCCTGTAACTGATTTCTTAATGTTGACCTTTGAAAAGCCAGCTGTGGTTTCTACTTGTAATTGGACAGCTAATTTGGGTCTTTTTGACAATTTAAAATATTTTGACCATATCTGATTCAACCTTTGTTTAGTTTGTTTCCTTTTCTTAAAATACCTCTTGCTCTACTTCCTAATAATTCAAATCAAATCCATGTTTCAGGACCTGGTTCAAGCCTTGCTTTAATAGAATCTTTGTTATTAATCTAGTCTGCCCAGATCACTCCTTTTTTATCTGGTCCTTCTTCCATTCTTTCTTAACTTTAACATGTAATTAGGAACAAAAATCATCTAACTAGCACATCAAAACTTCAATCAATGCGATCCATAATGTTGCTAAGTGTTAAAAAGTTATTTCATTGAAAAATATTAAGTTATAATGTAGGTAGAACAAAGATAAGGCACGGATCATGGTGGAGGTCCATGAATAACCTGGGTTTGGGAAACACAGTACTAGAAGATCACCTGAATCATACTTCTCACTTCTTATACCTTTTTATTCTCTTCTTGCATCATTCCCTGCACCTAGTTCACTAGGTCATGCTTATTAAACATTCTTCTCTGAATGAATGAAGTAAGATCATGTTTTGCATGGACAAAAGATATTCTTTTCTTTTTTCACTGTGGAAAAGTAAGTAGGCTCTTTCTCAGGGAAGAAGCTCTATTGTTCAACACAGGACCTAAAGATTGTTTCAAAATAGCCCCTGTGTTAAATTTATCTTAAAATTTGTCTTTTAGAATATTAGATATAATTTAATAGGAAACAGAGTATAAAGTTTTTAATGTGATTACTTTTTAATCAAAATATAATTTTTTAATATTTATATTTTAACTATATTTTCATCTTTCAGAGCAATATAACTTATGATTACCATAAAGGCAATTCAACCCCTTCTGTGCCAAAGAGGTGTGATGCAGATGCCCCTGAAGGTAAAGCATCTCTTACGGACTGTCTTAGAATTCATAACTCTGTAAGCAAGGAATTACCTTGTATTTTGCTGTGTTAAACATTTGATGCATTTGTTTTAATATATGGCAGCAAAGGAACTTTTAGCAAGAAGACATTCTTAAGCCTCTTTAATAGAATTTCTTGGTGATATAATTATTTTCATTAGAGAAAGGACCATTATAAATTAGTTACTTATGAAGTAACAAGAGTTGTTATTATGTATCACATTTACTAGTATAATAAGAAGTCACTCTTAAATGACTTTTTGTTTTTTCTTGAAAAATTCAAGAGTTTTGGAGGAATCTACAATTCTTAGGACCAAGACCAAAAGTACCTGTGACCTAGAACTACTTCTAATTCATCCAACTCTAGTCAGTTTAGTTAGTAATAATAATTTTAATGATAGTAATAACTTTTAAAAACATGTAATTGTGTTCCAGGCACTATGCTAAGTACTTATGCATATTCTGACAAAAACTCTGTGATCCTGTGCTCTTAACATCTGTATATTTGTAGAGAATCAATTTCCCTCCTATTTTCTGTACATTAAGGTGACTTTTGTTTTCTCTGAATATTATAGTATTCTGTCCTGATTAAGGATTCCAGATTCATTCTTTCAAACTTTGCAATTTTTTTTTCCTATTCCTGCCTTCAAAATGCTTTTATTTCAGAGTAAAGTAAATGTCAAATATAGTATATGTCTTCATAAATCATTCATGGGTATCATTATGAAAAAAATAAATTCTGAATTTTTTTTTAGCAGGGTCAACTATAGATTGTGATGGAGTAACAGGAATAGGTACATAATATAGGGGTAGCCCAGAGCAATAACTGTACCTGGAAGAGATCATTGTGGAGTGATAGTCAAAAGGAAAGGTTTTAGAAAAGGGACACCAGATCTGTATTTCAAGGTTAAAGAAGAATGTGTCAGGTGTGTGCATCAATAGAAGACTGTGCCAGGCAGAGGGACAAAATGCACACATACAGTGATCGTAAACTAGATGGGTATGTGTTCAAGAGAATTTAAGACTGTTAGTGTTTTGTTTTTTTAAATTATGGGATAGGGTTTTGGAGAGAGGGAGGAAATGAGATTATAGAAATAGGAGTCAGATTACAAAAAGTCTTAGAAAGTAAATAAAGAGCCAGTAAAGAGTTTTAAACAGTAAAGTAGGAGTTATGATTTGATTTATTTTCAGTAACTTAATTATAATAGTTATATAGAGAATGGATTTGAAAAATTGAGACCAGAATAAAGCAGTCAGTTGGGAGGAGTTGTTGGGGTAGCTATTTACAGTAATCCAAGAGAGATGCTGAAAGCCTGATCTAAATAGTGATCATGAGGGTATGTATGAAGTGAAGAAAGAAATACAGGGGTTAATTTAAAGAATCTTATTGCTTGGATCTAGAGTAGTGTGGTGAGGGAAGTATAAGATTCTAGAATGACCCTCCAGTTCCTCAGTAATTTGGTAAATTTTGGTATCACCACGCTGAGGCAAAAATTCATGCTAAGATTAGAGAAAACGTAAGAACTGATTAGTTAACTTGAGATGTCTCAGGGAGTCAGGTGGAGATTTCATAGGCTGTTGGATGTATAAGGAATTTAGAGGGTAGAGTGAGAAGAGCATGGAGACTAGAACTTTGAGGAAAATCATTATCTAAAGGCAAAGCAGCTAAAGAAGGTACAGAGAAAAGGACTGAAAAGAAGTGAGAAAAATCTTAATGATGGAAATAAGAAACAATTGTGTGGAATAAAAAGGAATATAAAGTAAATATAAAGGAAAATAATAATGAGTTTACATTAGTCTTCGTAGAAATTCTTAATGGAGATTGAGAGAGATTAGATTGTCTCAGTTTGCTGTGAAATGTCGATTTGGGTCACCTGCTGAGAATTGAATGAGCCATAGAATATAAAATTGAAGAAAGTGGAATAAGTTTTTGATAGTCCATGAAGGTGAATAGAAGAGGGACCTGACTGCTGATAAATTAGTGATAGATAAATATGTCAAGGGTCAGAGATGAAGTTACCAATGTGTATTTTTGTTGAACAAATCTGGACAACTGGTATGATTCTTCTCCATCAGTGCTTAGGTTGTCTGGGGAATGCGGTTAAAAGATTGAAATAGGATGGAAAGCAAAGGACAAGTTGAGAGGGAGAGAATAAAATGACCAGTCCCAGAGTCCAGGATGCATAGGGAAGTAGGGAAGAGACTAAAATTGGGAGAAAACAAAATCGAGATGAGATAGGAAAACATATATGTTAGGAATACTTCGTTTCGCTCAGAGAAATAACAGTTAAATGTTTCTAGTATAAATAAATATGACTTGATTTTCCAATTCTACTTTTTGATGACTAGATTTTTTACTTTAAAATGTGCACATACACACATCATAAACAGGGTTGGTAGCTGAAATGCTTTGGCTTGTCACTTTTAGCTAAATGCAAATAGATTGAAAAATTACTGTTGAGTTGATTTATAATTTTTTTTTCTAATAAGAGGGCACTCATCCTGAAAATGTAAAATAGATTCTGTTTCTTAAATTTTTATAGTAGTATTGAAACCTTAGCAAAAAAAAAAAAAATCCAAAACAAATAAAAACAAATCAAGATTTGCACTGGTAAACAGGGCTTTAAAATGTCTATTGCTTAACTGAGTGAATTTGTTTATTATAGATCAGTGAGCTTTAGTTAAATAATACACTTGACCATAACTGTCTTATGAATAAGTCTAATCTAATTTACAGTGGTTAAAATGACTTTCTCTGAACTACTGAATATTGTTCCTTAACATTTCAGCTGACTTATCCTTTGAAATGTACTTTGCAGTACAAAAACTTACCCTTTTTCTGTTTTCTTGCTAATCTCCAAATGTTTAATTGTGCATACTTGGAAGAGAATAGTAGGAATATAGAAATATGATCATTGAATTTGGAGTGGCAGGGTAGATTTTTTAAGAGAATACTTTAAATAAAAATAATGATGGAAAAAGATGAAGCAAATCAGGGCATGAGATTTGGCACATGGGGTGGGGATGGGGTGGAATGTATCGTGATGGATTGGCATGGCAGTATTCATTTAAACACGAACTAGGAAACCTCAGTATACAGAGAAAAAAAATCAACACTATTTTTGTGACATTTTGGTGGGAACATTTGACTAGAATAGATGTTTGTATAAATACCTCATAAGGCATTTGATAACAACCACTTTTGTTACGTGTTTATTTCAAGTAACAGAATTTTGGAGAGTGATTTTTAGATTTAGAAACAAAAATTATAACTTACAGGTTTATATTTAAAATTATTTCTGAAAAATGTTAAAGCAACAATTAATTTTATTAATTTTAAATACATTTTAGAGACTTTCTTAAGTAACATTGTGTTCATATATGGGGTGGTCTGACATTTATTAAACATAGAAAATATTACTGAAACTCTAATATTAAGTGTACATAATGTTGATGATTCAAAAGAAAGTCATTCATCTAAAAATAGTTTAATTTCTTTGTTTAAAACATCACTTGAAGAATAGAACAGTTTAGCATATTTATAAAAATGCCTATCATACTATGTTTATAATGTTCTCAAAAATCACGACATTATTTTGACAGGCAGTCATAGTTTATATGTTCAAAGTGAGTCAACTGAGAAAATTAGAAATCAAGTTTTAAATTTTATATGGCATTATAGCAAAAGGATCTTTACATTCCTAGTTTTATATTCTTTAATTGCCACTTAATCTAATTAGCATTAATGCATAATTTATGTATTAATGTGAATAAAGTAGTTTAAAATTCTGGATTATTAAAAGTACCATAACTATACATAAATATTTGAGTCAAAATGGGAAGACGGAAGATCAGTATCCCTTAATGGACAAATGCAATGGACATTGTGCCGGGCTATAGTACTATACAGGGGTAGATTTTGGGGAAAGAGAAAGTGTCAGAGGAAACACATATACAGTCCGTACCTTCGAAAAGCATACAGCCTAATGGCTTTGGGTATTAAAATAAATAGTTGTAATAGAAAGAAAGGTAAATAGCAAACTATATTGAAATTATACAAAAAATGTGGTGGGAAAGCAAAAGGGGATAACGATTTATTCTGCCCAGGAGGTAATGTAACATTTCAGCTGGGCCAAAAGCATAAGTTAAATCTAAACAAACAAAACTGGAGGATATTCCAAGCAGAGAAGGAACCAGCATCAATAAGACATAAAGACATAAATATATTTGACATTTTATAGTAACAATAAATTGTGATAGGAGCAATCACATCCCAAAAAATTGTAACCACAGACTAGCTCTTTGCAGAGCTGCCTTCCAAATACGCATCACCAGAGTGAATTTGTTTCATTCTGAGAAGACTGGTAGTGCTGTAGGCACATGGCTGGCGTAAGTATAAAAAGTCCTCAGTAGATTCTAGGCTTCAGATTTCCACAAAGGAACACAAAGACATCAGAGTCAATTGTTCAAGCACTCAAGGAAACAAAGCACCATGAAAGAGAGCTAGAAGAAATAGCAGACAGCAGAAAGAGACTTGCAAAAACCTGATATCGGAATTATCAGCATGGATTTTAGAACAGCTAATAATGATAAAAATAATATTGACAGGGAACAACAAAATACTAAAGACTGGGGAATGAAATTATAGCAGATTTGTAAATGAACCAAACACAATATTTAGAAGTGAACATAGAATAATTGAAATTAACCTCAGTTTAGGAAACTGCAGATTAAAGCCCCAATGATATCTCCTCACAGATTATTAGTTGTAAGAGGAAAAGTAGTAGGTATTTTAGCTATATATCAGAGAAACAGGGCAACATCTGCACCAAGTGGACAAAATTAATATCCTTGAGGGGCAGTGCCTCGGGTGCCTTAAGATACGACACCCTGAAAAAAATGGAGAACATGAATTAAATCATGAAGAAATATCAGACACACTCAGATTGACAATTGGACAGAGTTAAAGCAACTGT